GTTCAAAAGAGGTTTTTTGAAACATAACCCAGATCCATTTTAAAATATCATGAATGTTGGTTTCACGTTTCAAACAGATAAATGCCATGAAAAAAAGCACTATTGATGGACCGATGACACGTTGTTCTTTGTTCAACAAATCTGTGCTTCACTCTATTTTTTTTACTATCATGACCATTAGACAAATTCATAATTTCCTTAATCTTTTATTTCACTTTCATTTTCTGTATCATCTTTATCTTCTTACTAAATTAAAATATAGCTAACATTCTTCTGTTGTTATACAACAAGTAACAAGGAATAGGATGAGTTTGTCAAAAATTAGTTTCTGAACATGTTTCTTTATTGAGATGAGAAAAGAAAATTTCTATGAAAACATAAAAATCACCTGTTTAGAGAAACTTGTTATTTGTGAAGTTTTCTCTAATTTATGACTCCAACCAATGAGCAAAATATGAACTCAAATGGAATGAGTTAGTTGATGAAGTTCGCTCATTAGTGTTTTCTTTCTGAATTATACCTGTTACACTGATATTTCCCTATAGATCACAGTATACTAATAAGTCAAATGATGGTATTTTGACCTGATATTTTACTCTCATATATGTTTCATAGTTATTAAAATATCATAAAGTTTCTACGGAGAGCATGCATGTCTCTTGTAGGATAACAATGAAAAATATTCATGATGTAATTAGAAGATTGTTACAATGCAATCCTACTGGCGTTGTTTTGATTTCGAAATGATTCGAAATTTTTGTCATTATAGTATATTTGCGGCTGATAACATGCCATCAAAGGGTCTGTAAGATAGAGATGCTAGCAATTCTGATCATGTAGTAAGAGCCAGTCCGTAGTCCTTATGTAAATTATATTAGTTGCAGTGTCTGTTATTTCTCAGTCATTGCGCGGATCTCCAACGAGTTCTCCAGTAAATGACAGAAAGTGCTTGACGAATAATCTGAGTAATGAATTTCGCAAGACTCGGCGAGGTTCAAATAAAAAGCATTGGTATTCATCCAGATTTGGCTATAACCATCCCACAATATCGATAAGAATGTGATCAGAATCATGTGAATCTAATACAATCCACTAACGACTGTTGAATCAAAGTAACTAGTTCATCTTTATTTCTTTGTTATTCTGTTACCTAGTCGCAAAATGTCAACTCAACTTCAAATCAACGACCCAAAATCCAGTTGACTATAAGTCTGATCCACGATCTGTCGCTATCGGTGACTTCAACAATGATACTTGGCCAGATATTGCTATAGCTAATTATGCTGCTGACCATATAGCTGTATATTATGGATATGGCGATAGGACAGCGGTAAGCCCAGTCACATATCGGACTGGTTCCGGCTCTGCTCCATACATGGTCGCCGTTAATGATTTTAACAACGATGATCGACTGGATATTGCAGTCGCAAACTTTGGCACAAACAACATTGGTATACTTCTTGGCTTCGAAAATGGATCTTTTGCAAGCCAAAAAACCTTTTCAACTGCCTCTTCTCGTCCCATTTGGATTCATGCAACTGATCTCAACAATGACACAGCATTAGATATTATCACCGCTAACCATGGCACACACAGCGTAAGTATATTTTATGGATATAGAAATGAAAGCTTTTCAAACCCAAGCACGTACTCTACGGGTTATGATTCTTTCCCGTTTGCGGTTGTCAGTGGTGATTTCAACAACGACAAACAGATGGATCTTGCTATCGCCAATTATGGCACCAACAACGTTGGTATAATGTTTGGAACTGGTAACAACACTTTTGCAAATCAAATCACGTTTTCAACTGGTCCGAATTCCCATCCATACTCGATTGCTGTGGGTCATTTAAATGACGACAACATGTTAGATATCGCGGTCACCAACAATGGAAATAACAGTGTCGGTATTTTTCTGGGTCACGGCAACGGAACTTTTATGAGACAAGCGACATATTCCCTCAACGCTTCTTCTCCATATTCTATTGGCATTGGTGACTTCAACAAGGACAATCGGATGGATTTAGTCGTCACCAATAATGGCACTGACAGTATAGCTGTGTTTCTCGGATATGGCAACGGCACTTTTGTAAGCCCAAAAATGTATTCAACTGGATCTTCTTCTTCGATCTACGTTGCCATAGGTGATTTCAACAGAGACGATCGTTTAGATATTTTCGTCATCAATAATGACACAAGCAGCATAGATATCTTGCTTGGATATGACGAGTTCTTTCCAATTCAAACTAAATATCTAACTGGCTCTTTTCCAACCTCTGTAGCTGTCGGTGATTTTAATAGCGACACCGTATTAGACATCGCCGTTACCAATGAAGATGAGAACACTGTAAGTGTACTTCTCGGATATAGTAATGGCTCTTTTGCAAGACAAGTAAACTATTCCACTGGCACTCAACCATATGGTGTAGCTGTTGGTGATCTTAATAACGACAACCGACTCGATATGATTATCACTAATTCTGCTAATAACACTGTAAGTGTATTTCTCGGATATGGTAATGGCTCTTTTGCGAGTCAAACGACATATTCAACTGGTACGTTGCCATACTATTTAGCTGTAGGTGATTTGAACAACGATACCCGACTGGATATTGTCGTCACTAATTATCTTGACGAGACTGTAAGCGTACTTCTTGGAAATGGCAATGGCTCTTTTGCAAATCAAGCGACATGTTCAGTTGGCATTACTCCATACTATGCAGCTGTTGGTGATTTTAACAACGACACCCTATTGGACATTGTCGTCACTAATTCTAATAACAACACTGTAAGTGTACTTCTAGGATATGGCAATGGCTCTTTTGCAAATCGAGTAGAATATTCAACTGGCATTTATCCAGTATTTATAGTTGTGGCTGATTTTAACAATGACACCGGTTTAGATATCGTCGTCACTAATTTTCTTGACAACACTGTAAGTGTACTTCTCGGACATGGTGATGGCTCTTTTGCAATGCAAAAGACATATTTAACGGGCGACAGACCAAATGGTTTAGCTGTCGGCGATTTCAATAACGACACCAGACTAGATATTGTTGTAAGTAATTCTGGAAATAATACTATAGGTATATTCCTCGGATATGGTAATGGTTCGTTTGCAAGTCAAAAGACATATTCAACCGGTGCTTATCCATTCACTTTAGCTGTTAATGATTTTAACAACGATAACCGACCAGATATCGTCGTCACTAATTATTATGATGCCAATGTTAGTATTCTACTCCGTTATGATAGAGGGGCTATGAAAAATGAAATTACATTTACGCCCAGTGCTGGTGCCCATGTGAGAAGCGTTGCTATTTCTGATTTCAATAACGATAGTCTATTGGATATCGTCGTTGCTAATTATGGTAGTAATAATCTAGGTGTCAGTCTTGGATATGGAAATGGCACCTTTGGAAACGAAATGATATTCTCAACTGGATTAAAATCTCATCCTTATTCAATTACAATTAATGACTTCAATAAAGACGGTCAAGTGGATATTGCAGTGGCCAATCATGGTACTAAAAGTCTTAGTACATTTCTGGGAAAGGGAAACGGAACATTTGAAAGTCAAGCAAATTATAGCACTAGTTTCGATTTTGCTCCATTGGCTGTTGGTGTTGGTGATTTCAATAAAGATGGACATCCGGAAATTGTTGCTGCATATGATGATACTGATAATTTGGATGTGTTTGTTTTATATGACATCGGAGATTTTTCTCATCGAACAACATATTCAACTGACCCTTGGCCAACCTCTGTCGCTTTTGGTGATTTTAATAACGATACTCGACTGGATTTCGTTGTCACTACTACGCATTACAATAATGTAGCTGTATATCTTGGATATGGTAATGGCTCTTTTGCAAATCAAACGATATATTTAGTTGGAAAGGGACCATACTTTGTAGCTGTTGGTGATTTTAATAACGATGCCCGATCAGATATAGTCGTCGCTAATCTTGATGACAACACTGTAAGTGTACTCCTTGGATATGGCAATGGCTCGTTTGCAACACAAAAGACATCTGCAGCTGGCTTTAAACCATATTTTGTAACAATTGGTGATTTTAATAATGACAGCCGACTAGATATCGTCGTCGCTAATAATGATAGAAATTCTGTAACTGTACTTCTAGGATATGGCAATGGCTCTTTTGCAAATCAAGCGAATTATTCAACTGGGTCTCGGTCATTGTCTGTAGCTATTGGGGATATTAATAACGACACCCGACTTGATATCGTTGTCGCTAATTTTGATAGCAATTCCGTAAGTTTACTTCTAGGATATGGCAATGGCTCTTTTGAAAGAAAAGGGAAATACTCTACTGGCAGTTCACCGACATTTGTTGCTGTCGGTGATGTTAACAACGACAGCCGACTAGATATTGTCGTCACTAATCGTGATAACAACACTGTAAGTGTACTTCTCGGATATGGCAATGGTTCTTTTGCAAGTCAGAAGATATATTCAACCGGTAATCAGCCACTCATAGTAGCAGTTGGGGATTTAAATAATGATACTCGACTGGATATTGTTACCAATAGTTATCGTGACAACACTGTAAGTGTGCTTCTAGGGTATGGCAATGGCTTTTTTGCAAATCAAATGGCATATCCAATTGACACTACTCCATTCCAAGTAGCTCTTGGTGATTTGAATAACGATGGTCAACTGGATATTGTCTCCCCTAATGTATACGGTAAAAGTATAAGTGTATTGCTAGGATATTCCAATCAAGCTTTTGTAAAACAAACGACGCTCATAACTGGCAATGGATCTCGACCAATGGCATTCACTACTGGATACTTTAACAGTGATAATCAACTAGATATAGCAGTCGTGAATTCGGGTACTAACACCATGGGCGTTTTTTTGGGATATGGCAATGGCTCCTTCGCAAATCAAATAGCATTTTCAACTGGCTCTACTCCCATGTCTATTGCTGCTGGCGATTTCAACAACGATGCCATATTGGATATTGTCGTCGCTAATTCTGGCGATGACACTGTTGGAGTATTTCTTGGATACGATAATGGCTGTTTTTCAAACCAAAAGATGTTTACGACGGGCTTCGCATCTTTACCTCGCATGGTGGCTGTTGGTGATTTTAACAACGACACTTTACTAGACATTATCGTCGCTAATTATGGCACCAACAATGTAGGTGTACTGCTTGGATATGGTAATGGTTCCTTCGCTGACGTAAAGGTTTTTTCGACCGATTATGGATCTCGTCCATTCTCGATTTCTGTTGATGATTTTAACAATGATGGAAAGCTAGATTTCGCAGTCGCTAACAAGGGTGCTGACAATTTAAAAATTTTCTTGCAGACTTGTTAATATTGCAACTCTTAACTTGCGTTTTTTTTCTTCTATTCACTGTTTCTAACTTTTACTTAGTGCTACCAATATTTCTTGTAAGTTATTTTTTACTATTTATCTCTTATTTATATATTCATATAAACTATGAGTGAGCGTTGGGAAGTGAAATAATATGTGATGCGTTTCCATCTTGCTTGAAAGTCCCATGAGATAGTTTTGATTTCATATCTATTTTATGTTAATTCACGAAAATAGAATACTCAAATAGTTAGTGAGGTAAGTATGAGAGGAAATGTGTTTGAATAGCTACCATGATTTAGATTTATGCGGATGTTATGCACAGAAAAGAGTGATTAGCAATGCAATGAAATAAGCAACAAGAAGAATATTGTTTGTATGCATATGAAACAAGAAAGAAAGTTTGTTTGTTTCTATTCAAAAGAAAAAAGCGAACCAGTATCGAAATGAAATGAGATAGAAATAAGTGTGGAAACCTCGGATTTAAGAGAGGATCCATGAGAAAACCGACCTTTGTTGAGATCGTCGGCACCTGTCAAATTTTATTTTTTTCGCTTTGTTTGCTCGATCGATAGAGTATGTTGTGAAACTAAGAAAACCAAAAGATCTCGTTTTGAAAGTGTTTCCTTCACGAGATCCAGGCCTCGCAAGTTTGACCACTGAGGATCAGTATGCATAAATATGCATGTTGTAGTCAAGTTTAGTATTTACTCAATTTTTTTCTCCATCATAAGTCTGACAAAGTTTGTTCATTTACCATTCGATAGAGGAGACGACGCCCTACAAACAGTGTTATTTTGTGCCTCGTTTGAATTTGGATTAGGTCCGCTAGACATAAAATACTCGATAACTGAGGGGTCCAGTATATAGCGATTTTTCAAGTATTTTGAATATTTTGATATATTTTTTAAAAGACCCCATGAATTTTTTTTACTAATTATATACACCGATCAATTCTGCATCGAATGGTGTAAAAATATCTGGATAAAAGTTGTCAGAACAGATCGAAACAGATCTCCCAATGTAACAGACGTATGGTATAGAAAAGGGATATGTTTTCAAAATGACCATATTGTTTGGTTGGAAATCATTCTATTATCAAAGGGTGTGGGTATGTGGGTGTGGGTGTGTGGGTGTGTGGGCGTGAGTGTGGGTGTGGGTGTGGGTGTGAGTGTGGGTGTGGGTGTGGGTGGGTGTGGGTGTGGGTGTGAGTGTGGGTCTGGGTGTGGGTGTGGGTGTGGGTGGGTGTGGGTGTGGGTGTGAGTGTGGGTCTGGGTGTGGGTGTGGGTGTGAGCATAGAAGAGATGAACAGTCATACCCACACCCACACACCCTCTCGTGCTTTTTTGCTTTTATTATTCAAAAAAAGATGAACGCTGTTTAGGCACTGACCAACCATGCCCTACCCTGGTTACGCCACTAATATGAAGTTTTCTTTTCTTGATTACAAAAATATTAATTAAACAAATATTTCAATTTCTTACTACTTATTGATTATAGATAATTCTATAATATTTTTATTTTTTAATGATTAATGACTTCTTGAATCAAACATACATTCTATTACACAATTAAAAATTTATTAATAATGAGAAAAGTTAATGGATACTGTATTGATTTATTGATCGATGAATCTTATTATCAGTTGTATAGATTAAAGAAATTCTTTGTTAGAGACTATCATTTATTTCAAAGATTTAATTGATATTCATCTTATTTAATTTGATTTTGTCAATTATTTAAAATGACTATTTTTATACGTAACAAATAATATTCATTTTTTCTATTGAAATGAATTAATAGAATGAATATTTGACTAAGAATATGATTAAAAATCTATCTTTTTGTTTAAATAATGACAAAAACAATATTCTAGATAAAAATCTTTTGAATTCGATCAATTTTGAATGTTTTTATTTTCGAATCATTTTGAAATTTATGACAAATTTTTCCAAGAGAACAAGATGAATAAATTTCGATTACTTTCAAAAATAATCTACGAACGTTTGATTATTTTAAGTAGTAGAATTATTCTACTTTTTTAAATCAACTTTAAAAACTCATTTAACAGTTCATACTAATCAAATTGATTTTTTCATCCATAAAAATTAATCTAAACGAAGATTTTCAAAAACGTGTTTATTTTCGAAAAGAGTGATTGATTTTATGTATGTATTAGTAGAAATTTAGAAATATTAATCTGCCAAGTCTGTTAGGATAGATAAACGACTTTTCTAAAGTTTGTAACTTATCTAACAAAAATTTCAATCAATTGTTTAGTGGAAAAATTAGGTCAGTTTGCACGAGTCTTCGTTCTTTTGTATAGCATCTTGTTCAATTATATCATCATCTTTAAACGAGAAGTCATTCACCGATTTGCATAGACTAGGAATTAAGCGATCAATTTTAAAGAAATATATAATAGTGTTAAGTATAGTTACTTTTTCTTCTTGAGAATAAAATCAAGTACAAAAGGAAAAACTAATTAAAATTTCAAATTTAACTTAATCAATATGCACAATTCACTCTTTTGACATGAAATTCTCAAATAAAAGACAACATAGGATATTTATAATAATAGAAAAGATTTTTCTTTACAAGAAAATTTGATTGAAATCACCAATGATTGAGATAGAATTACAGATTTCATTTTCTTTTTATTTCTCTTTATGCATCAATAATAAAAATGTGAAGTTTTCGAAATAATCATTTGGCAAAAAATTGATCTTCAAATAGGTTGCAATATAACTAGTTATAGTTTATTGTTGAAGAGAACTTTTCTGGCAAAGAAGTATAATAATTCCGGTTTTACTTTAAGATACAAATGAGAAGAAAACCATTCAGATTCAGTAAATTGTGAGCAGTATGAAACGAAAACAAAACTAGAAGCTTCATCGCTTTAAACATATTATTTGTCTTCGTCAAGTATAAAGTGAGACATAGGTTCATGCTCGTATTCCGTAGAACTCTTTAGAATTGAGAAGCGCAACTTTCAGCAATATTGGTGTAGAAGCTACACAATTCGAATTCATTTAAAATCCTCTTAGAGGCTCGTGATGATGTTAATTTTGACGCAGAGTCGTACATTCTGCCCTTGACTACACATTAGCGAAAATTCGATGTTAATATCTCTCTCCATTCTCAATGTATAGAAATAAATCTTTTCTGTAAAAAGATCTACCATTGATGGGCTTTTCCATTCTTAACTTCAGTTGTTTTTCAGAAAAACAGAAAGGAAATTATGTTCTGAGAAGATTGATTGAAATGAGATTTCTCTATCCATTTTCATTCTTGAATAATAAATTGTATTCGAAAATGATCATCAAACAATATCATATAAAGAACAATCAATTGTGAATTATGTTTTATTCACAGTTAACAATTGTGTGTTTTGACTAATATTTGATTATGTAATTGAATGCCATTGATGGTTGGACAATATCATGAGGAGCACCACCACCCACTGACTGTACGGTAACGCCTGTCTGGGCTTGCAATGTCGGTGGATTGTTTGTAACACCACCATTATCGACTCCATAGCAATAGTGAACATTGTCAGATCTGACACCCCAGACTTGACCACGTGCAGGACTTCCCATATCGTGACTATGTCCAGGATCGTTCACTAGATGAGTATGAGCTGGCATTTCATTTTGAGTGAGCACATGCTGCTCGGATCCAAATTGATTGCCTAACAGTCGATTAGTAAGACCCACTCCTTTGCCACTACCAACAATTACTCGACCACGAAGATCAGGCAGCTTGAATGTATTTACTTGGTTTCCAGAGCCATAGGAATCGCCAATGACTTGAAAAAGAGCCGGATATCGTTGCTGAGATACGGTCGATCCATCTGCTTTAAGCCAACCGTTGGGAATAATAGCACCTGCAAACGTCACAATTGTTCCTGGTGGAATTTGAAACTGCTGGGATTCGTTATCAGACGACGTAGGAGCATTCTTCGGAACGGTACTTCTCCGTACGTCATCGTTGGCTACAGCTATTAAGAAGTCTAGACAAAGAAAACCAGTTCGAATAAATGTTTGTGCTATAAATCCTTACTTACATTCAATCACCACCAGAAGGACAAGCAGCAGCAGTTTCATAAGTATCTTGAATTATATTTACCGTTTTGAATATTAATATTTCTATTCCATAGACCGACTGCTCCCCTTTACCTTTATATACTAGCAGAAAAGAAACGATACGTCTTCAGTCGAAAGTAAATATTTCATCTTTCAGAATTTATTATGCGCCATAAGATGCTTACTTCAAATATGTTTTATTAAGCAAAAACATTTCAAAGAAATTATGGCTGACAGGATGTGAAAGAACTAATAGCATTTGTTAGTTACTTTCTAGTGCTGTTCAAGAAACCAGTGGCAAGTTTCTTAGACTATTACTATCTCATTTGCTGCAATGTGTCTAAAGCGTTATTATGAACTGTAACAGAGTAGCGGCATCTGTAAGAACAATTGGTTGTTTGTGCAATGGATTGACTATTTTTTTTTGGCTCCAACCAGTTGCCAAAGAATCGCTGTTATTATTCACATATTCGTGCCAATGAAATATCTATTTTTGAAACAGAGTTATAGGCGATTTAATCTTTAAGAATTCTCAAATTTGAAGAAGGTTGACATGAATGTAACAGATCCTTCTAACATTTTCGACAGGATTGAATTGTGTCGTGTTTTTGGTCGTATGAATCATCCGACGAAAACGAGCAATACTCATTAAACTTTCACAGAAAAAAGTCTTTGTACGTAAATATACGAGATGCAATTGAAAAGTGCACACTTCATCGATATTCAGATCAAATGTGAGATGATTATACGTCACATATTATATTCATAGTTATCGCAAATATTTACCTAATTATACAATCCTATTCTATGGTATAACCTAACGCATACATAATAGTCGGTATTTCATTATATTTCATCATACACAGCTGTGTATGAAAGTAGCATTATAGACAACTAGTATGTTTGATTGTCTTCTAATTAGTGCTATCTTTAAAAACATTTTAAGTATATGCAATTACTTTTTCACAAAAACAAAATAAATGCTTGATGTAATATCATAAATAGGAAAAAGTATGAATTATAACATTTTAGTCTTGAGAATATTTATTTGCGTTGTTATATGACTATTGTCAATAAACAATGGCTGGACAAATGTAATTCGATGCTTTTTAAGAAAGGATCCGCCATCGAACCGATCAAACTCATATGGAGTCGGTCGTTTCTAACAATTTTTTTATTTTTTAACTCAAATGAAAGACTATGTTGAGAATGTTATAAATCTAAAATATTAAGTTTTCTGATACATCTGTGAACAAATGCAAGATCTCACAAATCTCTAATTATTCAGGTTAGATCATCAAAATTTGAGAAAATCGTTTTTTTTAAGCATTTTTTGTCGTATTTTTTGATTTTCTCTGGCCCTGCTCATTGGTATGAGTCAAGAGAGGGTGTGGATGTGGGTGTGGATGTGAGTGTGGATGTGAGTGTGGGGTGTGGGTGTGAGCATAGAAGAGATGAACAGTCACACCCACACTCACACCCCACATCCCACACCCCACATCCACCCACACCCTTATTATCTCTACGGTGTATACATGGGAATGAAATGGGAATGTGTTGAATACGTCCGTCGATGGCTTTTTATGCATAAAGGTTGTGTTTTTCAAAGCGTCGAGGGCGCTGCTGATATATGGAGTGAAATAATTTACGTGCAACGGGTCACTGACGGCCAATGTTTTCGTTTGAAAACTCATCCAAATGGTTCGCCTTATCCACCAAAAAATGAATCTCTGCTTATCTATAGTCGTAGTGATCCAGACATGCCGTATGGTCATGCTGCCGTGATAGTCGATATCGGACTTAATTTTGTTCGCATTGCCGAGTAAAATTTCAACTTTTATTATTGGTCCGATAATTATGCACGACAAATTCCATTTGTGATAAATAATGGCAGTTATTTCATTAAAGATGAATATCACATTCATGGATGGATGTCAATTGAAGACAATAATCAACTCAAACCGCTGGATCAATCGACCATAAATATCATCGTTTAGCGAAATCAATCTTTACCTAATTCTGTTTGTCTTACTAGTGCTGCTCATCATTGTGCTCCATTGTGCTCTTATCTATATTTCTTTCTTTGCTTCTGTTTTTTACAATTGGCTTTCTGGTAACCTTTTGTCAGTTTTCAAAAATCATTACAAATTAATAAATCTGTCATCTGAGTACAAAAGCATCGTGTTTCACATATGTAGTTGGGAAAATCGGAACAATCTATTATCCTTCTTGATAGCACATCCATAATGAGAATGACATTTTTTAACATCACTTTATTACAAGGAAGCTGCCGAATTCTACATTTAAAGAGCGAAATGTTAGCCGCTCAGCTTGACGTGATCTTGAGATATAATATTCACTCATATTGAACCATGAAAATGTCACAATGTTGAGGGTTTCTATTGTTTAGCATATTTCTTTGCTACACCATCATCAACTCTACAACTATTGTTATACTATTCCATAGGACATTTCAAGCTATACAAAACAATACATAGGACATCTTTGGATACCACTACTATCCGGAATAAAAGTCGACATACAGCTGTAATTTCTTATTCTGTCGCTTGAGACAGCATATTGAATGATACATCGAACACATTCGATAAGAAACAAAAGAAATAGAGCATAATACGCATTAATGAGGTACAATTTTCTCCTCATGTGAATTAGATCAAGAGAATGACGTTTACTACGCATTCTTTTACTTCCTTTGTACAGATTCTCTAAAGCAAAACACTTTTGATTGGCAAATCAAATGAGTCAAGTCAAATGGCAACTGACGAGGGAATATATCCAACTGTCAAATCGCTTTTGAATCGGGCACAGGCTTGCCGATTAGGGGAGGGGAGATGGGGAGGGAATTTCTCCCACCTAAAATGTGGTGTGGGTGGTTGTGGGTGCGGGGTGTGGGGTGTGGGTATCAGCGTGTGGGTGTGGATGTGGGTAGAGAGAGGAGACACACCCACACCCACATCAACTCTCACACCGACATCCACACCCACACCCATGTCCATACTCCAAATTCATACGGACAAGATCAGTGAGAACCTTTGTTAAATACCACTATTGACCTCAACAAGAAAATTTTATTTGTTCACAGATAGGAAAACAAAACAATATGCTCACCATAGGTTCTTCCTACTCTCGCCCATACGGATTTGGAGTGCGAACATGCTTCTATCTATGGTAAGAAAATCAACTCGTTTGCTCGAACTGTAATGGAGATATTCAATTTTCTTTTCGAATAAAGTGACTTTTGCACCATCCTATATATTGTTTTCTTTTCCTACCTGTGAACAAGTAAAAGGACACCGCCGGATAAGTCAACAAATCTGGCACCCCCCCCCCAGACAGCATTCTAATTAGTTTAAAAAGAAAGCCCAAAAATTTTTACGTAGTTCTATGTATTTTTTCCCGTAATTTCTTTTTGCTAAATTGATTTCTGAAGAGGCACTCGGTCTGAGGGGTATTTTCATTTT